TTGGAGTTCTCGACGCAGGAGGCGGAGGACGCCAAGAACGGCGTACCCGCACTGCATGATGTGAGCCCCAGCGGGTTTATATACGCGGGCCTGGACCTGGAGGAGGAGCAGTGAGTTTCCTATTTGCTTGTGATTGAGAACGGACCCTAACTCACCTTCGAGGCGGCGCGTGCGTCTTCAAGCGGAGCTGAAAAGGCCAAGACCACAGGACAGCAGATCAGTATGAGCGCCCTAGCTGACACGCGGCATCCAACGCTTCCGCAAACTCCAGGCCTTGTACACACCAGGGGCATTGCAGGCAGCGGCACGTGTGCCGGCGGACACGTCCCAATTGCCCGAAGATGTGCCGCTCTTCTTGCCGTCGGCGCTGAGTGACCAGGAGCGCACGACGGGTTGTACCGCGGGACTTGTGAATATCGGGTCTTTGTCGTCTACGGGATCCTCTGGCGCGCCCGGCCTCGAGGCGCGGGCACGCGACGCTCAGTGCCGCTCCGCGCTGGTCCGCCTGCGCAACCAGCTCCACATCAAGACCAGGTTCTTGATCTACAAGAAGATCCATTCGCGTCATCAAGGCGCGAATACCCGTTCGTGTACTATTGTCACCCGCAACGAGAGCAAGATCCGAATCCATTCGGAGCGATACCAGGCGGCATGGGAGGCTATTCGATCGCTCAGCGGCGGGGACCCGGCGAAGGTGGGGTGGCAGAAGCTGAGGAAGCGGGATATTCGGCTGTTAGAGGATCCCGAAGAGCTGTCGAGGCACCAGGCAAAGCGCGAGAGGCAGGAGGAACGTCGGCACGCCAGGGAGCGGCGCTTGACAGCGGAGGGTGAACTCCCACTCGTAGCAGCATCGACGGAGGTGGACGACGACGACAGCGACGGCGAGGAGAGGGAAGCGCGAGGAGGGGAGAGTGTGCGGGTGTTAAATGCATGCAAATGTGTTTAATCAGCTATATATAGTCCAAAGCAGTAATCGGTCTTCAACCGATTACAATGGCCTTTTGGCCCAGTTGGTTCTGTTGCAAGCTTTGGGCACGGATCTAATAGTGTAATCGGTTGTACCGAGGCGCGAGTTCAATACCCCAAGGTGGCATTATTTTGCAGGCCTGGAGAACCTGACTTGATTTGTCATCATTTGAGCTCGGTAACGTCCGGCAGGTCGATCACATGACCTGGGGGTCTTCTGTGTGTTGTTGTAGTCTTTGGGAAGTGCAACCGGGGTTCCCCGTTTCCGGGCCGGTTCAGGTTGCAAAATTAGCAACAGGGTTCCATTCCAATGGAATACCAGATCAGATCCGATCCTAAATCAAGGATCAGTCAAGGGTCTGATTGTCCAGCACTTCGGGGGCTCAGTGCCTAATGGGGGGGCACTGTTAAATGCATGCAAATGTGTTTAATCAGCTATATATAGTCCAAAGCAGTAATCGGTCTTCAACCGATTACAATGGCCTTTTGGCCCAGTTGGTTCTGTTGCAAGCTTTGGGCACGGATCTAATAGCGGGAGGTTTTGTGGATTTGGACTGTTGCTGGGACGGCAGGGACGGACGCTGAGTTGGAAGATGGTTAGCTTGTTTTCCTGCTTCCTTTACGTTTACTAAACAATTTCTTCAGCGCTGCGAATTGAGTGGGCGAAGGTGTACGCACGGTCACGGCGTTGGAAGGAGGAGGTGATGCTGCTTGAGGAGGAGATGCGTCGTGTCGTCGTCACCTTTGAGTACAACGCCAGCTGCTGGGATGCGCGGGGCCAGGTGATCAAGGTGGGCGAGGTGGATGAGCTATTTGCCGAAGGCGCCATCGCGTATGCAATCAAACAGGCGCATATGTTTCGGCAGATGGCTGAGGACGCCAAGACGACTTTTACGGAGGAGAGGCTGGCAAATGGGAAGAAGCGCACAGTTAGGAGACCGGTGGTGGAGGATAGAGCGGATAGCAGCAGCGAGGACGAGGATGACGAGGGTGATGGTGAGGGTGATTGGGACGGGCTTGGGGACGCGGAGGAGCGGGGGTGATGTGCACAGCGACGAGGAGGTGTTCTTGGGCGGTGAGGACGAGGAGGATTGAGGGAGGGTTTTCGCAAATTTCATACCTGCCTTTTTGGGATATGTTTGTATTTTATTTTTGATGCCAACCGATTTTCTCGAGTGGAGTTTTGCTTTTGTTGCGGGCAAGGACGATCTTCCGTCGAGCGCGTTTGAGCGGGTGGCGTACGGCCTTTTCACGTATGTCTTTTTCTTGTTTGATCGCATTTTTATCGCATTGAATTTCTGTGATTGTCGCGAGAGGAAGCTGAAGTCTCCCGTTATTTCCTCTCCTGGTATGTTCTGCATTGCGGGCAGTGGCAGGTGTCACTCGGGGAAATGCGGGAAGCGCTGTGGTGCCGAGGTTGCCGACGCTCATTACGTGCAACCTTTTTTCACTGCCTTTTGACGGAGTAGGCCGGGAAAGGGCGCAGGGCGAACACGGAGTACTTTCTTTTCGGCTTTCACCGACAATTTACATAACAGTCAAAAACATATGTCCTAATAGGGTGTTTCTCCAACTGGAGGAAGGCGGGAGGAGGTCTGTGCATCCCGAAGCAGGCCGAGTGATGTGTTCACGTCATTTGGAATGTGGTGCCGAGGTTGCCGACGCTCATTACGTGCAACCTTTTTTTCGCTGCCTTTTGACGGAGTAGGCCGGGAAAGGGGCAGGGCGAACACGGAGCACTTTCTTTTCGGCTTTCACTGACAATTTACATAACGGTCAAAAACATATGTCCTAATAGGGTGTTTCTCCAACCGGAGGAAGGCGGGAGGAGGTCTGTGCATCCCGAAGCGGGCCGAGTGATGTGTTTACGTCATTTGGAATTTGGGAGGTTGATTGCGGGAGGAACCGGGACGGAACGGGGAGTACGGGCACCATTTATAATATCTTTCAGCTGTCGGGTTTTGCCGCGATTTTACATAATTGTCAAAAAACATACCGGCCCAATTAGGCAAACACGGAGGGAGGCGGGAGGAATTCTTCGTGCAGATCCGAGTTTGTCCAATTTACATAATGTACAACGGTCATGCCGGATGCATGCCGGGTCAATCCTTGATGGGAACAGCTCAAAGAAATGGCAGGGAAAGGCACCGGGCATCCGTGCTCATGCCGGGTTGCCGGGGCAAGCCCCTGTGATCTCAACTGAGGTAAATGGCTATTTAAATAATCCCCTTAAACATTTTGCATTGAGATTTTCGGGAGGGGCCATATCCTTTTGCAATATTGGGGCCATATGAGGTGGAACTGCAGGACCTGCGTAGGAAGGAGTGCCAGGCGATGAGGGCGGCGGTGGGCCCCCAATATTAATCTAGCTATACGAAACGATCTCTCTAGTTCCGTGCGATGTACATACATTTCAATTACTGTGTCGACAAGGTCCACAGAATACAATACAGAATAGTAAATGAAATTGCCATACTTATGACTGAGCCGCCCGTATCTCTTTTTTGACTGAATTTTTTTTGAGCATGCTGAGATGAGATAGGGGGTTATTTGGCGTTGCTTGGCATTGACTTCTGCTCTCTTCCAACCACTACAGGCGACCCAGCGTTGTCGCCCACGGACTCGTGGGCTGACGATTTTTGTGACGCTGTCGGCCCACGACCCCCTCGTGCGCTGACGGCGGGCTCGGACCTCAAGTCGCAACTAATTGGAAACATTCCAATTTAGTGCATCGCCTGGACTGGACGACGTTCGCGTCCAAAGACGCAGTCAGTCCGCTCTGCGTGGACTAGACAACGTCCCGACGATCCCAAATCGCGATCGCCAGCGCAAATTCGCGAGACTTGTGGAAGTAATTTGACCTCAGCTTTTTTCACCCAGTAGGTTCTCCCCACCCCCATTTCATCTTCGATTCATCTTATTCTTGCGCAGATCTCTTCTCTCGCATCCCCAGCATGCTGCTCTTCGTGCGCCGCGAACTTGGCAACATAGTCCTTCGTTGTTGGCGCAAACTGCTCCGTCACCAATTTCCTTTCGCGCAGTAGGTCCCCCCTCCCGCAATTTTTGTCCGATTCACCCAATTCCTGCGTAGAACTTTTCTATCCCATCCCCCGCAGCTGCTCCATGCACCGCAAGCTTGCCGTCAACCCCCTTCCTCGTCGTTGGTGCTGACCGCGACATTTTCATGGCTTTTTTTTGCTCAGTAAGTGCCTTCTCCCCCATTTCGTCTGTGATTCATCTAATCCTTTCTTAGAACTGTTCTATGGCATCCCCTGCAACTGCTCCGTGCGCCGCAAGCTCGCCGTCAACCCCCTTCCTCGTCGTTGATGCCGACCGCGACACCTTCATGGCTTTTTTTGCTCAGTAAGTGCCTTCTCCCCCATTTCGTCTGTGATTCGTCTAATCCTTCCTTAGAACTGTTCTATGGCATCCCCCGCAACTGCTCCGTGCGCCGCAAGCTCGCCGTCAACCTCTGAATCGCGGGCTCCGGAGGATATGGTCCACAAGCTACAACTGGGACGGCCTCCGCTTCCCCACCGCTGATGAGTTGTAATATGTTGTCGTACTTTAGCTCAGGATGTTCCTCGGTGTACTCGTTGTCGTGTATTCCACATTGAATAAAAACTTGGTCTTCCAACACTTCCCAAGTCCGAGCCTAAGTCTTAGTTATCGGAAGGGTCGAGCCTCTTATTAATTATAATTGTCGCAAGGGTGCAGCTTCTGGTGGGGTACTGAGGGTTTGAAGCGGGGCCCAGGCTACGCCGCAAAAGAAAAAACCTACCACGACATGGGAATTGACTACTGGACCTTAAGTCTTCGTCTCGTCTCTAGCGGAGCCTAGCGGGGCCGCGCCTAGGATGCGATGCCTGTATAGCAACGGTTACTGATTTTTGGTTGAATGAATCTTTGTTCATATGGACCTCGCCTTACCGTGGTTCTTGTTGGGTTCTTGAATATTCTTCATACCCTAAGCGTTAATTTATGTGTCTCTTGCAAAAAAACAAAAACAGAGCAAAAAGACCGGAACACAAAAGAGGCTACGGGAGGAGTCGAACCGCCATATCCCGATTAAACCGATGCAGAAGCCTAAGGTCAATCGAGCGCACTAACCGTTGTGCCACGCAGCCGTTGTCATTGGATTGATTCACGCAGATGGGAAGGCGAGACATCGGATTCAGTGATGCATATTTAATGGCTACAGCAAAAGGACTGGTGAACAGCAGTGGCAAAGCAAGGAGAGAGTTGACATTATATTGTAAAGAGGGTAGGAAGAGCGGGGCCTGTCTGGCGTTGGTAATTCAGGTAACTCGGTCCGCTTTCACGGATCCGACGGCGCCTGAGGTACTCCTCGACTGTGAGGGGGGAGTCGCTGTAATATTTGTCAGCTTTCGGCAACGTACTGAGCAGCACGACGACTGTACCGCTGGCGCCGAGCCCGTTCCTTCTGGAGCAATAGAACTCGATGCCTGAGAACTCTCAGAAAGGCGCGCAAGGCATAAAATGTGCACGACGTACTGTTCGCGGTACTTGGTACGTGACGCCCGAGCCCGGTTTCGAAGCTCCTGTTGAGCGTGAGGAGCCATTGCTTTGATTGCGGCGCGGTGCCTGGCTCCCGTTCGGATAAAGCACGTCGAGTAGCGCTCTCGTACTCACCTCGCCATACGCTCGCACGCGAGAAGTCGCTTCAGCTCAGCTTTGGTACTGGGGGATCTGAAACCATGGTCAGCGTAAGGATGGGGGAAGAGAAGCAGTATGCACGCACCCCTCCCCCTCAGCGGCGGGCCGCGTTGAGACTGACATCAATGGAATCTGAGAAAACAGAGGAAAGGGGGATCAGGAAGGAGGAGCACCGACGTTCATGGCAAAACGCTTGACGGCACGTAACGTGGCGAGTTCGCCGTGACACTTCAGACAATGGGCAACGTTGAACAGATACTCGTCATTGTGTACGACGGCAAGGTACAGGGAGGAGCCTAGGAGTGTAAATCACCCTTAGTCCATACTCAATGGCACCGGCTGGACATGGCGAAACAAGAACTCGACGTGCTCGTCCGGTAGGTCGCCTTCCGAGGCGGGGTGAGACTCAAGGAGACGTTCGTAGTCGGCGACTGCGTCCGCATCGTCGGGGCTGACAACAACCCAAAGCAGGTAATCGTGCACGTGGTCGCGGAACGCAGCAAACGTTTTCCTGCAGCAAATCAATTAATTGTCCGCTTCAGCGATCAGGAGGCACGAGGGACACTCACGACTTGCGCAACTGGTCTGAGGACATGGCCATCAACTCCTCCGTCGAGTACCTGAGGCCCAGTCATCCTTTCCGCATCCGTACTCTGGCCTTCGACTTCTCCCGCTCGCTGTTCCTAATGCGCCGTTTGAAAATCAAGCCCAAAATTTCTCTAGCCAGAAGATTGGGACGTACCTCTCCCGGTATCGGGCTTGCGCTGCGGTGTGCCCAGAGAGCCCAGCAACATCCAGCGCGGTCGAGGTCCCGGCCACGTTCTCGGCGGCTTTGGCGCTTCGCTTTGGGGTGGGGGTGTCTGGAGTCGACGGCAACTTGTGTAGAAATTTGTAGGTTCGTTCAAACAGGGGTTCAAGAGAATTCAACAATTTATTCGAGATATTGGGAGCCTTTTATACATCTGGGAACAATGAAGCAAACAAGGTGCGTAGAACAATGAATCTTCAAGAAACAAATGGGGTCAGGCCAGCTGAACGCGTTTCATCGTCCTAGCGTCTCCATGCACAGCATGGTGGCGTAGCACGCGTCCGCGGACGCGTCAGCTTGAATTCCAACATTCCCCCACAAGCCGAGCTTTTCACCAGGCTGCATCAAAATCCGCGCTAGCGACACGAGCATCCTCCTTCTTGTCCGGACAGTTGGACTGGTAATGTCCCTTCTTTGCGCAGTTGAAACATGTGATGTCGGTAACAGGTCTCGGTCGACTGTGTTGAATAGAGGCCCGGAATGCCCCTTCGCGGGAACCAGTCGGGGATTTACGGGATTCCTCATTGAGGAGCCGTCCAATCACGTAGTCCAACGTGAGTGCAGCGGTTTCGGTGGAATCGAGGGCTACAACAAATGTGTCATAGGTGTCGGGGAGACCCATCGTAAGTACGAGGATAACATCTTCATCGTTGACCGTGATTCCAGCCTGCTTTAAACGGAATGCAATTCCTCAGACGTCTCCAATCCAGGAGGCCATCTTTTGACTGTCATCCATCCTCATCGACATGAATTTCCGACGCAGTGCCATTTTCGTCACAAAACCACGAGAGCGATGCACATGCTCCAGCTCATCCCAGATCTCGTGTGCGGTCCCAGCCGTCATATGCGCAAGCTGATCAAATTCAACAGCTAAGATCATCTCGGCACGAGCTTCGGCATTCTGCCGATCCCAATCCCGGACGGCCTTCGAGTTCGGTCCAGTACTCGGGCGTGGCGTACTCCCAATGGCAACATCGCGAACATTCTTCCGAACGAACACGGCTTCCATCAAAATCCTCCAAATTTCGTAATTTTCGTTCGTAAGTTTCGTCATTCCTTTCGCTTCGGGCATCGTCAATTGCGGGGTTCGGCGTTCGGCGTTCGAGGTTCGGGTTCGGCGTTCGAGGTTCAGCGTTCGGTTCGGGGTTCGGGCCGCTTTCGGATAGGCGGACTTGTTCAGGTGTTACAAGACGAGAGCGAAATAGGGCAGAGGTTTAGCGCGGGGGCCAATAACCTGTAGAAATTTGTAGGTTCGTTCAAACAGGGGTTCAAGAGAATTCAATAATTTATTCGAGATATTGGGAGCCTTTTATACATCTGGGAACAATGAAGCAAACAAGGTGCGTAGAACAATGAATCTTCAAGAAACAAATGGGGTCAGGCCAGCTGAACGCGTTTCATCGTCCTAGCGTCTTCATGCACAGCATGGTGGCGTAGCACGCGTCCGCGGACGCGTCGGCTTCAATTCCAACAACTTGAAGCTGAAGGTGAACGATGTGTGATCCATGGAAGTTAGGAAGAAAATGCAGACTTGCCGAATCGGGACATAAGGTCTGCGGACAGTGCGAGTGCGCAACGGAAAAAAAATGGTGCTGGATATTTCGTGTGACACTGACCGACATGAGCGTAAATTATCGGCGATGAGTGTAAGCCATGGGCTCCTGCGGAAATGGTGAGTCATCTCATTGGCGACGCGCAATACACCCCTTTGATGCAACATCGACAACGAGGCATAGCACTGGAGCGCGGAAAAGAGCAGTGAGGTCAATAATTATATTTTTCACAGAAAGAAATGAAAAAGGAACGAACCAAAGGTGTTGAGGATGATTTGATGTGGTTGAAACGGGGTGCGCAAGCTCCCCAAGTGAACGACGTACAGGGCGGTTCCACAATGGCGATATTCATAATGCCGTGTTCAAACCGAATGTCGTGGTAGAAGCATCCACACGACCTATGTCGACTGAAAAATAAATGTGAGAGAAACTGGTCGAATAGGACATCTAGTACCGTAGTGCACACCAGTAGAATCCCAGCAAACCATTCAGGTTGCGTGATGCCATAAGCTTGGACCGAGATATTGATATTTCTTTAACGGAGGGTTACCCGGACGTGACCTGAGAAATCGCGGAGCGAAACGGGTGGTTCTGCCGGCGGTACGTTGATATTTCTTGCGAGTAGGTGCGTCCCAATCGGGAAATTCCTTCGTGATAATTCGTGATCGTTGTAAATTGTGAGCCCAAAGGGTCACTAGGCCTCGGAAAACTGCGTTGGGGCGTGGGGAGTGCATTAAAGTCCTCGCCTACCTGTAAGGCTGTCCTGGTTTCCGCTTGGGAGATTTCAAATCAGGATTTGGTTGGCTGAAACGCGGTTAACAAGGTTTTGTAGGTCAACGGCAGGGAGCCACGGGTTGGCGCGACGATATTCGTACTGTCGCGTTCAAACCAAATATCATAGAGACCTCTTCCTGCGCGCCAGTCGCGACTCGAGAATAAAAGTATAAAAAACTGACCGGAGATCCCACCGAACACAGTTGCAGCAGTGTTGAAGTTTCGAGAAAGCGACTTCCGGTCAGCACATCGTTCAAGTTCTTGAGAAATTTGAGCCCAAATCTGCAGCGATGAGCTCCACGCAATTACAATGGTACGTAGTCTATTTTGTCGATGGTACATTTGAATTGGTGGTGAGCTGAAGGGTCTTCCCAATCAGGAAATTCTTCGTGAAAGTTCGTGATCACATTGAATCTGAGTGGGTAAGCTCAGTGTTGAGTTGGTCGTCGGTTGTTTCATAGCGTGAAGGTGCCAAAACAAGGTGCGGAGGAAGGGCTTTGTGAGAGAAACAGCTACAAAGAAGTTAAAGTAAGGTCCGGGCCGGCGGGAGGAAAAACTTTTAAACGCAGACGCCGGCGGAGTTGAACCGCAGACTCGCCGAAGCAATTGAGAATTGCAGGCCGAATTGTCAACCATTGTACCATGGACACGACAAATTTGTACGCGCTAACTCCAGTATCCCTGTTATATCCATGTCCCGATCCTTCGGACCTAGGTCCGAGGATGGCCGAATGGCTCCGTGTTATATCCATGTTCCGATCCTTCGGACATAGGTCCGAGGATGGCCGAATCGCTCCGTTAACTCCGGGCTCCGCTCCGTCGGAGCGGAGACGGAACGACGGAGCGCGGCGGACTTCCTTCAGAAGTCCGTATCGCGCCATAAGGCGACATCCTTTATTGTCCGCCTTGCTCAAGACTTCTTACTTATTGTCCAAACTACTTCTTCCAAGTCACCTGACTTCTTCCACCCCTTTCGGATATAACCTTATTGTTACTTCCGCATGGAACCTTACATATCTCCTTTCCGTATTACAATAAGACCCTTTAGTATTTAATCACTTAGACTACAGCACTGTACTTCAGATTTATTATTAACGTTGCTTCGCACTCCCTGCAAGTAATCTGAGTTAACGCTCCGGAACTTCACTCGGAGCTCCGTCTCGTCTATCCCGTACTCCGAGGCCAAGGGTAGTAACGCTCATCCTGCTCTCTAGTGGTGTAGCGTCATCCGATCCTCCGGTCACCCTTTCCCCCCGACTCCGTCACTCCGCTCCGTTCCGACTCTGCACTCCGGTATCTCGGAACTCCGTCCGAC